CCTCCCCTCTGCACCGCTGGAGAGGCAGGTAAGACATGGATGTACATAACAAAGGGGTTTACTTTGCCCTAAACTATAGCAGTGTTTTTAAAAACCCGCCACTTAAATTTAGGGCCCCTGTTTCATCTACACACGCCCATACAGTCTAGCACATTTCCTTCCTCAGTTGTAGTTCAAGTTCTTTTCAATGCGAGAATTATGTTAATTTTCCATAGTAAAAAAAAAAAAAAAAGAGTGAAAGCTAAAAGCTGGCATTGCACAAGGGGTGCCTTAAGTCTAAAAAGTTTCAGAACTACTGCTCTACAACCTTTTTTGCCTGCTTTATTTTAGTCAGTTAACAATCATGAATCTGAACTATAGCTACTTGGGGGAAAGCTGGGACAAATTTAAAGATGGTTTTGGATTTATTCCTTTCATCTGAATTACCTAGATTTACATGTTTCAGATCATTAATACAGGTGAAGAGATTTTTCAAAGGCACGAATGACAATTAGATACCCAACCTCCACTGGCTTTCATTGCAAGTTAGCCAAATGGCAAAGAGCACCTTTAGACTTCACTTTTCAGGGAGCAAGGGTATGCATATAAATTACTATTAGGGAAAGACAGGAAGGGATTACAGTCTGCCATCTGTTCCTCAGCAACTGGCCATATGTGCATGGTCTTACACTCTGGTATATGAAAGCTACTGCAAGGTGGTTTACCCCCTCTGGAAAAAGACTTAGGTATAACTTTGCTTTTCCATGCCTGATATAATTTGTTCCCTTTCAGATACCAAGCTATACACCTCACTTTTTCTGTATTCATATTTATGACAAAGTCAAATACTGGGAAAATGTTACAACAATGGTCCCTGGCAAACCTACCTCATGTTATTATACAATGGTTTAAAGATGTTTTGAGAAGTACCTTACTACCTATATGCTTAATTCTTTCTTGAAGTACAACTTCAGGTAGTTTCAAACCAAGACTAAGTAAAATTACTATAAATACTGGGTCCCAAGGGATTTTGCCTTTTTTACTCCAATTTTGGAGCCATTATGTCAATCATTTAGAATTTCCAATGTCTTGGAAATTGCTTGCATTTTTTTTTTTAAACTCTCAAGGAATAAGAACTTACACTACATAGTATGGCTAAAGTAACAATAAGAGATCAGCTTTGATTAGAATAAGCATGGATACAAAATTATTGGATAGGCTCATTTTCAAATAAAGCTTTTTTTATTCGAGATCTAAAATGCAACAAATTGAAATAAACATGGTTCAGTGATGCAAAGTCAAAGGAGTTTTCAAAGCTGTTATTTTCTTCATCTGTTTTTTGTACTTCACATAATGGTACCCTTGGATCTCATAACTAAACTGTCATAATATGAGTTATTGCTTATTCACAACTTTATCATCATGCCAGAGATATTACTATTCCTTCTCCTTGAATTTAGGGCACAGTGATAATAGTAAATTGAAACTTTATTGTACTGCAGCTAATGTAATGATTACAGCAAAAGGCACATCTAGCTACATTTCACAAAGCATACAATGTGAGGAGTAAGACCTCTACTTCAAAGAAACAGTACTCTGGTCATTTGTTAATGTCCTCCCCATTAAATGAGGAACCAAGCATATCCTTAAAACAAAATAAATAAATACATAAATAAAAGAGAGACCATAAGTCTGAAAGTATTTTGTAAAGTTCCAGTTTCTTTATTTTTTTTTTTTTAAATAGTCCATCATATAGATGATAGGAAAATAGGGCTACAAAGGACCTAATGAGGTTATCTAGTTCAGCCCCCTGCTCAAGGCAGGTTAATCCCCGACTAAACTATCCCAGTCTAGTGTTTGTGTAACCTGCTCTTCAACATTTCCTGGGAAGGGGATTCCACATCTTCTGTAAGTAGCCCGTCATAATGCTTAACCACTGTCACAATCAGAAAATTCCCCCTAATCTCCAACCTAAATTTCCTCTTCTTCAGTTTGAGGCCATTGCTCCCAGTCCTGTCCACTACAGCCACAGACAAAAGGCTATCTCCATCATTTGAAGACTGTTATTAAATCACCACTCAGTCATCTCTTCTCTAGACTAAACAATACTATTTATTTCAGCCTTTCCTCATAAGTCTCGTTTCCCAGGTCTCAATTTTTGTCACTCTCCACTACATTCTTTACAACATGTGCACATCTTTCTGGAAATGTAGGCCCCAAAACTAAACATGCTACTCCAGGTGAGGCCTCATCAGTGCCAAATAGGGCCGAAGTCCTTCCTTGCAGCACTGTTGCCTAGCCATTCATTTCCCCATCTGTATCTGTGCATATCATTCTGTCAAGTGAAGGACTTTTCACTTATCCTTGTTAAATATTATCTTATCGATTTTGGACTATTTCTGCCTAGCCATACACAGAGCTTGTCATCTTATCATAGAAGGAAATCAGATTGGTCAGGGCATGACTTCCTCTTGGTGAATTGATCATGGCTGTTCCTGATCAACTTGTTTTCCTCTTGGTGCTTCAAAACTAAATTCCTTGAGAACCTGATAAATCATCTTTCTAGGTATCAAGCTCAAAATGACTTGTCAGTAATTCCTGAGACCTTCCTTCTAGCCTGTTTTGAAGATGGGTATTATATTTGCCCTTGAGCCAAAAGCATGGGAAGCAACTTTCTTCCTGTCACCTAGGAGAAGAATCCAGGCTTCCTGAGTTCCAGCATAGTCCTCTAATCAACAGGCACTTGAACACTTTATAACAAACACTTATGAAATGCATACGCTAACAATAAAAGTGAAGTGTAGACAATTTGTCCACCAAGTTATTAATAAAAAGAAAAACAGGTCTTGGTCTCGGAGCAGGAAAATAACATTGAAAGATCTGGGGGGGAGAGAAATAAGCTACTGATCAAACACAGCTTCTAAATATTTGGGTGCCTCAGTATGGATTTTGGAGCCTACTGTTGACATGAAAATTTCAAAATTATGGCCAAAGCCTTTATGATACTGCATAGGCCTGAAATCTCAAAGGTTATGTGCTTACAGAGTTGGAATAACTATGATTCCATATATATTATCAGTAGAATATCTGGTTACAAATAGTCCCCCCCACACCCCTGAGTCAAAGAATAATGCTAAATCTATGCTCATAGTGTATAAACAATACAAGCAGAACAATGAGTAAATTACTGCATTCTGTGGCTTACTGTGCATCTGCACCGCAAATGAAGTAAGCATCTCCATGACCTAAGAATGTATGCTCTTAACATCAAAACATGAGTAACAAGGATTCATTGTGCATGTTAATATATATTTAAATGTAATAACTGAATTACCACAAAGTATTTTTACCACCACAAACTACTTTTATCACTTACCACTGAGTTTCATTTTTGAGAAACCTTCAGAATCCCTCTGTGGGAGGCAGCATGATGTCATTTTACTTGAAGCACAATTCTTTCCTGTTAGGAAGACATATATTGTGCCTTTCAGTAACACAAATGATACTCTTATTTCGAAATACATGTTGTGCTACTTTTTAAACCTTCTATTTTCCATAAGAAAGCATACAGCAAGAGGTACCAGTTACTACTCACTAATATTAATCTCCTTTTCATTATGCAGAAATACAAGTCACAGATTGTGAAGAAAGGATATCTGATATGTCACTGCTAAGTTTGGATTAAAAAAAAACAAAACAAAACAAAAACAAAAAATCTTATTAATCAGACACACTGAACAAGGCAAACTTAAGGTTACCAGCATACAACTAATTGCATTATAACAAGTTTCAACAGTAGTTCATTACAGATATGTCTCTACCATAAGAATAGATTTTTCAAGTAATTTTAACTTATTCACAAGAAAGAATAATAATCTGCAAAGAAATCTCCATGCCACCTTTCTAAAAGTAGGTACTTTGTAATTACTGAAAGCAAATACATACCACAGACATCATTTTAGAGCCAGAGAAATGCATGTAAAGTATTATTTATATTTAAAAATAATCATCTCACCTGCCATTTCTCACACTGCTAGGAAGTCTTTGACACTTGTCAAAATCCTATAATATTTTGAGGTGTTAGTGGAATGTCATATAAGTTTCCTATATTAGTAAAATAAGAACCTTGTTTTACTAACATGACATTTGTAATCTCTATGTATAGGTAGTGTCAAGCTGTATTTAGCCTTATCACGTTATTTCTGTGGTATTTAATATAAACATAATTGAGATATTTTTATCTTTTAGCCAAGCTGTTTAGTAGGCTAGGGATTAATTTAAGTTATTGACATTTGAAAGAAGTAACTACAGTAAAAGCCCTGTTTTCTGGCATGAGTGGGGAATGTGGGGGTGCCAGTAATCTAAAAATGCCGGTTAGCTGAGGCACCAGGGTTTCCAAATGGATGCAG